TTTGCTGTATTCAAGTTAGTATACTTCATTCGTGGATTCATTTTACAAAAGGTTCTGGCATGTCTTTGGAAATGATTTTGACAGATGAAGCTGTAAGTACCATCGAAATTTTATACAACTCTCTTTGTAATATATGTGCCGTAAGTTTTAAGTCATCTTATTTTAATTACAGGGTAACAAAATTCAAGCTGACATCAAATAGGAACACATCAGCAAATTCCAAAGGTATGTTAAACCGTTTTTTTTTTCTTTTTTTTTTAAACCATGAAACTAGGCCTCACAAACCCAATATAATCCATTAAAAAACTTAGATCCAATACAACTATTTTTTTGTTTGTTCACAATCACACAATAACGTTATTAATTCCTAATTGAACCAAAAAAATTGTTAATCTCATATAAAAAAATACAAATCTAATGCTGCTAAATATATTAAATTTTAAAATACAATATTCTCTCCTTCTTTAGTCAAATAAAATATATAACATTATATCCAAATAGTAATAAATATAAAATATTATGATATATTCCATTTTATATTATACTATTATACTATATTATTCCTTATTTTTTCGAACAAAATATACAATTTAATTCATGAAAAATATTAAATCCCGTGCTGTATAGCACGGGTCATGATCTAGTATATATACAAATCACAGACCAAATATTTGTTACAAAGTACAAAGACTATATGCTTTGACTGAGCATAATAATATTATATCGAATTAATGTTTACTCTGCTTTAATTTTTCGCCTAATAAATCTTAATTTAGAATATGTATAGAACTAATCAAGAAAATTAACATGAACATAACAAATCATGTGAAACAAATCTTGTTGTGTTGTGTCTGTAATAAAGAGACCAAATGCTCAGCGCAAACCTAGCCGACTGTTTAGATTATAATCCCACAATCATGGTCTAATCTTGTTCTAATCATTCCATTTTTCTTCTTTTTACATTAAAAAAGTGAATTGTGAATTTATTAATTTTGTTTTTATCAGATCTGTTCCTCAGATATTATTTTTTAGCATCTATCTATATGCAGTGGACATATATGTGTCTCATTTTCCCTATTGGTTGACGTCGTACGCCGAATTTACAGAAACCAATCAATCTGATGAATATGTTTTTTTATCAACAAAATTATATTAATAATTATTTTCCATCGTTTTATAATTCAGTCCCATTCAGGCACTCACTTCCCATGTGCCACCCTGAGTTGCTTCTTTGCTAGAATTATTTAATTAAGATACAAATTTATTTAACAAATCAATACTCCAACCTGCTATAAATCATAAATGTAAGAGCTTTCTAGTTTTTTAGATAACGAGGCATTTGTCTATTTTGATTTTATTTAATTTACGTGGAATTTTAAGCTAACCACATTTGTTGGCAACTAAGAAATACCACATTTAATAGCTAGTTTTCAAAAATGTCGCGAAAATAATATCAATTCAAAAATATCACCTGATTATTAGTAGTGAAACTTAAGAATTAAAATATTTTGGGATTCTTATTTTCAGATCGAAGAATACTAGTTTTCTCACACACAAAAAAAAATCAAATTTATTTAACTAGTACTAGTATTTTTGAAAAGGAATAGTGATTTTTTTTTTAACTACATCAAATCCCTTCAAATTGAATGTATTCGGAAGTAGTGATCTATATATTTAAGGAAAAATGATGAATAAATTTTTTTTTTTCAAAAAAGTAAATATTTACATTTATTTTTAATATATCAATCACTTATATTTTGTTATTAATTATATGATAATGGTTTAATTCAAAAAAATAATATGATGGATGTATAAATCAGAATGATAAATTTTAATTTAAAATTAATTAAGTAGTAATATATTTGTGCATAGCACATTATATATTTACGTTAATTAAATTTAAGCTCTATGAGAGTAGAAAATATGAAGGTACATATTTGTGCATAGTATAATATGCACATTGTTGTCCAACAAAAGCGTCATAATGAACGCAATCTATCGTATAATTTTATACGTCTACGTTTTGTCCAATTACTTCCTTATAAATACATTGTAACATACTAACATGATAACATAGAGATATATATGTAAAAAAAGTGTATACATAAGAATATTGTATTGTAGACTAATCGTCACATGAAGTATTAATGTCGTCCCATCGTAGGACAAATAGATTTGAGGTGGACAGCAACATAGTCCAACCTTCTTTTTTAATTTTACTTTGGTCGCCTCATCTTCCACGTCTCCTCATAATCAAATCACATAATTGCATTCAGTTTTCATAACAGCAAAAATAAAAATAAATTATACTTATGTCGCGTTTTATATTTCAAGGTTTTTTTTTTGTTTCATATTTCATGTTTTGGTTTATAAATATGATTTGTCACTAATTGAGTGGTACAAACAAACTTACATGGACTAAATTTTAACCAAAAAAATAGGAGTTTTTGAATAAGTATATAACATCAAATAAATTCGTCAGACTGGTTTTTCATACCAAAGAAAATTAGTTTTAAAAGTAAAACTAGAAGAAATTGATATTCTACCAAAATTTCCTGTTATGTAACCTTTTGAAATTCGTAAAATGATTATCATGTTGGATTCTACTAATATCTAAAACCTATACTATAATGTTTGCTAATAAAGTGTTCAGTTAACGTATTGGTTCTGTTTCATTTCAGATTTTACTTTTAGCTTCGTCTTCTTTTTCTATTGGTTTAGGATAAATAGTAACCATAGAAATTAAATTTATGTATGAATAAGTATAATAAGATGGTTTGAGTTTCGGTTTATGTTCAGATTTAATCGAAATACATCACTAATTTTTGTAAAAAAATCTCAATTTCAGTTTGGTTTCGATTTGTTTTTTTTATAAACATAAAATATATAATTCAGTTTGGTTTTTTAGGTCTCATTCATCTACTTTATACGGCAAATATTATCCAGCTTCTCCGAATGATTCATTTTGTTTGAGTTGCATGCATATGAAAATTTTAAACTTATATGACATTCACACATAAGTTTTTTTTTTTGTTAGTAGCTTTTCAAAAATTAATAATTGATCAATCAATTTCACTTGGCTGGTTAGCAAGTACCATAAAATTTAAAATCGATAAAACACAAAAATTAATTAAAGAAAGCGAAACAAGCTTGAGAGATTAGTACAAAAACGTAACCTCTCTCAATCTTTAAACGACAAAAGTCTTAATGAAACATATGTACACATGACATTGATGTGTCTTCATTGATCGAAAGCAATTAAAATTAATTGAATTTATATGAAACAAATTCAAACTGAAATGACTTCTACGATTATAAACTCACGAAAGGCAAAACGTGATATATCCAAAGTGGGTTCACTGTGGCGCAGTCCACATCTTATCTGGTACGAACTCCTTGTGAACCGTTGGATTGAGAGATTGATCGTACGGTGGGCGATGATTTCAATTAATTGGAAGTTAACATCATCTTACATGTTTAAGCTGAGTCAAAAACCTTTATCTCGTTAAGTGTTCATTGCCATTACTGGAAACTTGATAAGAGAGCTTTGATCTTAACTTAAGTCTTTCATTTTTTTCATAAATTATTTAATGAACCTAACAGCTGTTTTGATTGAAACTATCTATTAACTTTTTGTGCAGACAATTATGCCCCTGATAAAAATTTTGGTTAAAATTTTGGACGAATTTTATGATTTTCTTTTACCATTTATAGGTATTAATACTCAGAGTTAAGAAATTTAACTCCTAATATAATTTATGAACTACGTACATTACTGTTTAAAAACTTTAGACAAATATAGTGAGAGTTTTTTTCAATCATAGATCATTAATCTAATGATATTACCAATATAAATTTGTGATATAATTAATATTTTTTATTAACAATATGCTTTAGCTTGATTCCGAATGGTAACACTGACACTAGCTAGTATAAACTACTAGGTTACTTGTCCTAAATTATAATAGAACTAATTTGAATGAATTTACTTTTCTTCTATAATCAAATGACTTAAAACCATTTTATTATATGTATAGTTGATAATTAATAGAATGACATCATCTTAAACGATGTCTTACCAAAGTCATAGAATCTGACTTTTCTATTTATATGATGTCTTTATAGCTCGTAGTATTTTTGGTATGAATTTAAATTTTGAAGACAAATAGATTTCTTGGTTATGCTTAGAAAACTTTGGTGTGAATGGAAAACTCTAAAGAATTACTCCCTCCGTATTTTAATAATTGTCGTTTTAGGATTTTATTTTTTTAAAAATTAGATGTCGTTTTCAAATTTCAATGCAAAATTTCTTACTTTTTAATGTTTTATGATGTCATAAAACATTAAAAAGTAATAAATTTTGCATAGAAATTTGAAAACGACATCCAATTCAAAAAAATAAAATTTCTAAAACGACAATTATTAAAATACGGAGGGAGTAGCAGATATCAAAAACTCTATGCAATCAAAGTAATTTAAGCAAGTCTATGGTATAACCTATACTTTCAATAAGAAAAAAGCATAAACTAACTACAATGCTCAAATTAAAACTGATATCTTCTGTGTCCGGTCCTAACAACTACCACATGGGACATCATTCTTAAGGTGTTCAATACTCTAAAACGATACCATTAGATATAATAAAATAGTGTATTGAGAAATATATAAAACTCGGAGGAAAATAATATTAGATGGACCGACAAAGGGTTCAAAGGGTGCCATTAATGGAGGCGACAACACTTGGATTCCCACTGATTCTTTCAGCTTCCATGTCTCATCTCTCTCCATACTTTACAGTCGAAGTTGCACCCAACATGAGTTTTGAGCAAACCTACGCACCTTTACACCTTAAATATAATGCCCCTCAAGCCCAAACTCTTCAAACACACTTCTCTCATCTCTCTAATCTCTCTTTCTCTCTCTCTCTATCTCTAAAAATAAAGGTATGGACTTTCAGCCAAACACATCTCTACGTCTAAGCCTACCAAGTTACAAGAACCACCAACTAAACCTAGAACTTGTTCTCGAGCCTTCTTCTATGTCTTCTTCTTCTTCTTCTTCCACGAACTCATCATCATGTTTGGAGCAGCCTAGGGTATTCTCATGTAACTATTGTCAAAGAAAGTTTTACAGCTCGCAAGCTCTTGGTGGTCATCAAAACGCTCATAAGCTTGAGAGAACCTTAGCCAAGAAGAGTCGAGAACTTTTTAGATCCTCAAACACTGTTGATTCCGATCAGCCTTACCCGTTTTCCGGCCGGTTTGAACTCTACGGCCGTGGCTACGAAGGATTTCTCGAAAGTGGCGGCTCGAGGGACTACTCAGCTCGCCGTGTGCCGGAGAGTGGTCTTGATCAGGATCAGGAGAAGAGTCACCTTGACTTATCCTTAAGGCTCTAAAATAATCTTATATTTTGTTAGTCATATTATCGTATCAATTGTTTATCTTAATATTAATTGTTTTACTTATTAGTCATTTCCTCTTATCTGAAAGCTCTCTTTGTAACTATGGTCCTAAATTCAAATCAAAATTTGATTTTGGAAGATGGTTCCTATATATAGATGGATCTGTATTTCTCTATATAGATATGGTTATTTTAATTATACATAGTATAAGCACATACTTATATTACAACTGCATTATAAAATGAATGAATGTCGCTTGTATATAATACATTATTGATCAATCTAACAATGTGCCCCGACAAGGAGACATGTGCTGCGAAACTATACTTAGTTAAGTAAATTTCTATTTATATAACATTTATCCACATATGACATCAATAAATACATATATACGTATCTATCCGTGTATTCACTAATAATTGTATATTCTTCTTATGCTCATTACGTCATCTAGTCATAAGATTGTTTTCTTCAAATATTACTAGTATTTTAGTGAAATCCAGAGATTTACATGATGTTTTCACTTTAACATTCTTTGTTTTTCTTAGTGATATTTTATTTTTCTTCATGCTGAAGAAGACACTTTAAAAATGTTTTTTTGTAACAAATTAAATGATTTGATATGAAATTGAAATGAATAAGTCTAAATTAAAATGATCAAATAAATGATAATAACGAAATAACAGGGTGATTAAGATTTTGTTTTTTTTCTATTTAGTATTCTACTTTGAAAAATAAATATATTATGAACCTTCACTGACTATCAATTCTCATCAATGAAAGGTTTCATTGAGTACCAAAAAAAAAAACCTAAAGTCGATAGACCAAGTTCATGCATCTTAAAACAAAATGCCTCGTTAAATTTCATTAAATTATAGATATAACAATATTATTTTTGAACAACCGTTTTCATGTCTTGCTTATTCTGTATATGATAATTCTATTACAACTGTTTTCATTAATTTTCTGGGGATCAATTTAGAACATCTCACCAAAAATTGTACCGTTCTAAAAGTAAGTTAATTAGGAGAGGACTTATCACGAAAAAGGGTTGTTGACGTATCGTTATTTGTTGAATTGTAAAAGTTTTCAGCCTCCTAATGAGGAAATCTAATTTTGTAAAGTCATTACTTGTACTTTGTACTTTATTATTGATCATGCATTTGTTTCTTATTTTTAAGCATATGACAGCCGGCAACACCATAATTTACAGTGCCATAAAGAAACTAATTTTATATATATGTGTATATGGAAGAAAGTTAAGGATATATACTTTCAAAATTTTATTACATAAGGTGTTTGAACAAAAAAAAACAAAGAATGTTACATAAAGTGAAAATAATACTTTGCCTTGGTATACAATTATACGTATGGCTATCTAATGTAAATTTGATTTTGTTAACCTTTTTATTATGAGGGAATACTTATTTGATTTTAAGAAAATAAATAAAACCCGAGTGAAAGGTAATTAGTGGCGTGTATGAGATGAGAGAAAGCACAAAATTGAAAATATGACTTTAAGATCCAATAATTCAATGTCTGAATCGAGCAAGTCACGATGATCACTTCCTCGAGATAGTGTCTCCCTTATTCATAACCCTAAAAGTAATGTTAATTTGAACACAAGAATAATTCACAAAAAAAAAAAAAACTAATGCCATATTAATCTTTATAGATTACTTAAACTTCAAAAATATTTGATATTAATTAAAATGCATTTCAATGTAATTTAATATGGTTATAAATAATATTTGTTTTGTCAAACAATATGATTATAATGACTAGATTCCTCTTACGTTTTGTGAAAACATACTTCAAATTGTTATATATATATATATATATATATATATATATATATATATATATATATATATATATTCATTCAGATTTTCGGATTATTTTTTATATTTATTAAGATACATGAACTTGGTCTATCGACTTTGGATGTTTTTATTTGCTACTCAACGAAACCTTTGATTGATAAGAGAGTCAAGGTTCATACTAAAAAAAAGAGTCATCTATGCATATGTTTATGTATATTTTTTTATTGACATCAACAATTTATATTTAAACCAAACTATGACAAACCGATAGTTTTAAGGTTTTTAATATGTATATATTGTTTTTTTATATTAGATGTAATAAGTGTAACTGTATAAGCCATCTATGCCAAATTTTGTTTCTTTTGTATATATTCAGATATATATAAAAATAATCATCTTTTTTATAAGTAACCGAATTTGTTTTTAGGGTCAACAGTCGAAACAGTTTTAGACTGGTTTATCGTTAAAATTCTCATAATCTCTTTCACGTCGAAATCGGTACATGGAATCTTGATAACTTTTGTGGACATAACATGATTGAAGAGATGTTTAAGAGATGAGTGTTATCGTCCAAACACAAATGCAAACTTCTAAACTTTATTAGTTACCAATCTTGTCCATCATTTACAAGAGACCAACAAGTTTATCAACGGAACTCGTTGTTATTATCTCATTTCAAACGATATTCGTTTTATTTTTCTTGTTCTATAAATACCGACTTAAGAGTTTTAGACGTAATGAACTAACTGGTGGGGCCAAACGATGTCGTATCAATCAAAAGTCTTTTTATTAGATATACCATGATGATTTTCAACTTATAATGTAAAAGCAATAGAGCTAAGACATGAGTTAGACTAATTCTACAACAATGATTATGTTTTGGACGTCAGAAGTTCTAAATTTATGTATGTGAGTTTAAAAAATGATTATGAAGCTGAATTATTTTTATTTTTTTGACATCATGAAGGTTGAATTATCAGTGACATGAAATGTTAATTCTTTCGAGTTGAATTATCTGTAACATTCAATCAGATCAATTATCTTTAGCACTTTTGTTTGCTTCCGTTTTTCTTCTAGATTTTTCACAGATTTTACTTACTACATGTAAAGAGAAGAAAAAGATTACAAGTATTTACATTTATTATTGTACTTACTAATTAGTATATTCTGATTCTTTCGAACATGCAAGGGGGTTAGAAGTATAGTAATGCAATTTATTAACAGAGTCCATAACTATAAAACTGAACAGTTACATCTTGGACGGTCGTTATATTATCCACGGGAAAAGTGTTTCTATCAAATGTTTGTTTTCTTTCTCGTGAAATGTATTACAAAAAAACAATCAAATTATTGGTTACGGATATTAGAGCATCATTATAGGTAGTTTCTTAGAGATAGATCTTAGTAATATTTAAATAATTTATTTATAAAAGTGATTGTTAAGAGATAGTATTTTTGAGTTAAGATTTTTGTGTGATTAATGGTAGGCTCTTAACATGTGGTTCTTAGAAAAAAAAATATTAATATAAAAATAAAATTTATAATTATAGAAAATTTAATAATTGTTGCAAATTAAAAAAATTAAAACATACATGAGATACAATTTATAACATAAATCACAAATATTTTAAACTTAATTTCTTCTATATTTTGTCCATATATGCTCGACCAAATCATTCTTCAATTGTTGATGCATACCTCGATCACGAACTCGAGCTCTATTATCGAAGAAATTAGAAGGCGTATCTGTAGAATATGTGAAATCCGCCCAATCAAAACGTGACACGTGTCACCTCTTAGGTATTAAAGTGATTTAAATTAAATAGTTAATACCTTAATAAGCTAAGGAACGTTCCCCCTATAATGATGCTCTTAGTGGGCTTTCTAAAGCCCATTGTATCACAGAACAAAGCTCACGTATTTGTTTGCGTCTTTTGTTTCCAAAGTTTCCCATGGGGAAAACCATGCGCCTAATTGTCAAGTTATGTTCTGTCCTCAAATCTGTGGAATGAAAATAATAATTACAGAGAAAGCAGATTCGTTAATGTGTTGACAGTACAGAATGCTCTGTTATTTGCTCTGTTTTCAAAAGTAACATAAAATGCTCTGTTTTCAAAAGTAACAGAATACTCTGTTTTCAGAAGTAACATAATACTCTGTTATTCAAAAGTAACAGAAGGCTCTGTTTTCAGAAGTAACAGAATACTCTGTTTTGCTCTGTTTAATGACAGAAAACTCTGTTTCTTTGCTCTATTATCAGGTTGGTCTAGTTAAGTTCGAATCAAATTTTATTTTGATTTTAAGATATGAAAAGAAAAAACAATCAACAAAGAAATCAAATTATGACAATGACAAAACAAATAATCAATTTACCCAAAATGGGAAATAAATCTTTGAAACTCAAAAGAATAACAAATAAATTCAACATATATGAGAAAAAAATTGAAAGAAAGAAATAAACAGCATCAAGTGCTTGAATTTTCTTTGTAATACGATCAATTGTGGTTGCATTCTGTGGGTAAACCTTGAGGGAACCTCTTGAAATCTGTACAATAGTTATAGATCATATAATCATCTTGCACCCACTTAAGCTGTCCAAGCTGATTTGCGTTAAGCGTAGTCCACATCCACGAGTTGCTATTCGCATTACACGTAACCCAGTCCCATATCGAGGTCCGGCTGCAGCAGTCCACATCGTTGAAACTTTTGTAGGAAGCGCTGAATGGAGCGTTAGTCCAATCGATCTTGACTCTCCCGCCTTGTGTGGCCCAATCATCAGCTTCCCATAGACTCGAGTAGATCTTCATTGGTTGGTTTTTCGGGTAAGCAACGCCGTTAGCCTCGTTGTTCTTGAACACCCGGATTGGGATTCCGTCCACAAGAAAGCTTTTGAGACCCCAAGAAAAACAAAACATAATATTAAGAACGGTCATGGATCTTATCAAGCTTCTAGAAATCAACTTCAGCCCTAAGTCTACTCAAAACGGCTAAGATAAGTTGATCGGTTTAAACAATGTATAGTATAAGTGTAAATATTTTTCTAAAAACAAATCAGCCCCTAGACGTCTTTAAACGTTCGATTAACGTCTAACGATATTTTTATATCTTGAATTGGATTGATCGGTTGCTTACATGATGTTGAGAGGGTTCCAAAGGACGGTGTAAGTGTGGAAATCCGCAGTGGGATCAAACCAGAGATAGAACTGCATTTCACGGTTACCTATACCTCCGGTAAACACATTTGTATGGAGAACATAAGGCTGTCCGGTAACGTTACCCAAGAACTCGAAATCGATCTCATCCCATTTCTCACCTTTTGAAGAAAGCTGTTAAAACATTCTTAACGTTAGATTAAAGATCAATACCACAATATTTAAAAAGAATGGATATAGAAGAAGTTTTACATACATAGTAAGCTGTGACGGTTCCGGCAGAATTTCCAGCGACAAGTTTTATCTTCATATCGATCTTTCCGAACAAATACTCTTTCTTCGATTGAAAACCTGAACCGGAGATCTTGTCGAGAGTGCAAGTCAGGAGTTGTCCAGTCTCAAATATATTAGCACGACCAGCTCCCCAAGTGATATCGAAGCTGTCGTAGAAACTTCCGGTGGTTACGCCGATCAAGACCAGAAGAGACGCCAACATCAACATAGACTGTTTGGTCGCAGAAGCCGCCATTTTTTGCTGTTGTGGTTGTTTGATTGTTTTCTGATGTTTGAATATGATGGGAGATTGGTGTTTATATAGACTCATAGAGAGAGATATTTTTTAAAAGTGAGTGCATTAAGAGAGGTTCGTGGAGTTCCATCATCGACGTGGTCGTCTCACTAGGCGATTTTAGTTATTATAAACAAATGAATTACGTCAACTTACATATAAATCATGTATAAAGTCGTGAAACTCACATATAAGTTATATATATGTAGGTAATGTTTTTAAAAACTTTTTAACCGTTCAAGCAAATTTTGTCTTCTTTTTTTTTGGTCAGGCATTTGGCTCAATTTATAAGATTGTTTCATATAATAAATTTTGAGTTAAAAATGCTTTAAAAAGCGATCAATTTAATTTTCGTTAATTTGTACAATTGCTCAAAACAAAAAACTTGAATTATTTGTTTAGGTTTTGGTAAAATGGACCGACATATTTTAGAAATTGTGGACGGACATGTTAGCCACATACATATAAGAATTGTCACGTATAATTTTTCAAGGCAACTAAATATTATTCTTCGAATCTCGTCCATCATTTGCATAACAAAAAAGAAAAGAAAAAATGAATATTCATTTCAGGTGGATAAAAATCTCAGTCAATCATAGTCAAAACACTCAGAAGTTTATTACTTTCAGCTTATCTGTTGCTTCCCTCCACATCGTTGAAGCTTTTGTATGAATTATGCCAGCTTACGACGTAGTCGCCCAACGTAAACAAACGCGTAGTTTAAATTTATTATATCATTTAGATGTACAAGTTTGTTTTATATAATAAGTTTAAAATTTAATTAATAAGGTTCTGTCTGACCAAAAACAAATGTCAATACGGTTCTTAAACCAATCGACTAGCATTTTTATTTAGACAAGTAATAAAGCCGAAGCTGATTATAAAAAAAAGGTAAATAAGTCGAAATATTCGTTTTGATTTTAGTGAATGGACCGACATGTTCTTAAAATATTGGACGGACATGTCAACCACATATGTAAGAACTGTCATGCATATTCTTTGCATAATAATAAAACAAATATCAGAACATTCATTTCCAGGTTGATAAATCTAAGTCAGTCCATATGCCAAAAAACAATAAAATCTCAGTCAATCATAGTCAAAACACTCATAGTGCCTACAAATGTTTTTATAGCAAAAAACCGACACATCATCAATGGCTATGAAAACCATCCAAATTTTCTATAAGATTTACTCACGAATTTACTTGTTGGACACAATCCGACAAGGTTACTGTTCATGAAGATATACAAAGCCATAATCTAACATTTAACCAACATAACTCACACACATTTTATTACGACAATATCTACACAGAAACGGGAAATTGCTTAATACAGAACCTAAATAAACATAAACATTACATATATAATTTGGACGAAACTATATACTACTAGCTTTGGAGTTTCGGATCAAACATTAGTTCCCGTAGCTAGTGTCTACACTCCTTTGGAAATCCTTGAGGAAACCTTTTGGTGTCTGTACAATAGTTATAGACCATGTACTTCCTCTGCACCACTCTCATCTTATCTGCCGCTGTTAGATCAAGCCTTTGAGAGAACCATCTAGGTGAACCGGCGGGACAAGATGATCTTCCGCCCGAGGAAACACATGCATCCGCTCTAAAGTTCCTGTAAGAAGCGGTGAATGGTGCCTTGGACCAGTCAGTCTTAACAAGACCTCCCCTTGTAGCCCACTGGTCCGCGTTCCATAGACTCGAGTATAGCCTCATCGGCTGCAATTTTGGATATGGAATACCCATATGTTGTAGATTCTTGAATTCTCTTACCGGAATATCATCAACCATGAAACTGCATCAAAACATATAAATGATAAATTAGTTAATAATAAACTCAAAACTTGACGTTGAATGGGAAAAGATTTATATATTTAGGATCAGCCTCAAGTATTTTCAAAGACGAGTTTTGGACCAATAAAAATTATGTCTGCCCAAAGCTTGGAACTTATAGTTAGAAGTTAGAACAAACAAAAAAAATAACTTATGTTTCTTCGTCGTGTATATCTTTAATCTTTATATACTTACACGATGTGATGAGGGTTCCATAAAACAGAGTAAGTGTGGAAATCAGCGGTTGGATCGAACCAGAGATGGAATTGTTGTTCTCTATCACCTTTGCCTTGTGTATACACATTCGTATGCATGGTATACGGATCACCAGTTAGATTACCAAGAAACTCAAAATCGATTTCGTCCCACGTATCACCTTTAGACTTCAACTGCATGGAAAAATAAAACAATCACAAACTGTTCTAATATGCAAAAGTATAAAAGACCTAATAAAAACTTGACATGGTAAGTTGGTAACATCGTATAGGACCGTCTCAAAATATTTAGAATCTCTGTTGGACAATTTTTTTTTTATAGGAGCCTCAATTTATATAAATATTCAAAAATTTATCCTATAAGAAATAAAATTTTAAATGGGAGCTTTCCACACGTGCTAAAAACGACCATGTTATATATGTTATGATGTTAAATAACACTAACGTAGTAGGCGGTGACAGTTCCGGCGGAGTTTCCAGGGACGAGTTTGAGCTGCATATCGATTTTCCCGAACAAATACTCTTTCTTGGTTTGGAAACCAGAGCCGGAGGCTCTGTCGAGGGAGAGAGTGAGAAGCTCTCCGTTGTTAAGGACCTTGCCACGACCATCACCCCAAGTGATATCGAATTCTGTGTCGAAAGTTCCGCAGAAAACCGGAGAGAAGAGGGTCGTGGTCGAGATGGTGAGTGTGAAGAGTAGGGATAAGATCAAAGTGGACCGGTCCATGTTTATGTGTCAATAAGATGGAGAATTGAAATCGTTCATTGGGACCTTATGTGTTGGGGGGGTTTTATATAAGGGAGGCAAGTCTTAGTCTTTTTGGAGTATAGTTCGCCGTTTGTGACTCTTGTGTAGTTTTAGCTGTGAACAGCTGGTTCTTGTTTTGAAGTAAAGCAAAGCATGTGCTTAATTTTGCCTCATGCTACGTGTGCTTGTTCTTTGTTTTGGTATAAGTCTGCCTGATCCGGTTCACTTGATACCCAGTTTGGTTTAGGGGTTCTGGTTTTAACCTTGTTAAATTGGTTCTGCATAAGAGTGGACATATATAATGTTTGTACTTGGTTAGGATATCTCAGTCTTCAGGCTAATTCGGTTTGAAAAAATTATAGTCCAAATAGAAGCAAATTGGGTACGGTATTTCCGCCAAATTCTTTTATTATAGTTGGTTTAGTATTAAAAAATAAATAACTCAAGAATACATATGCAATTTGATAGAACTAAAATTAAATTTCAATGAACTATTATTGGTTCGGTTAATACTAAAATCGGGTAAATTTTGTTTTGTACGGGAGTAAAGTAATGACACCAATCAAATTACATGCAAATTCCGGTTTGATTTCGATTATAAAACTAGAAAAAAGGTTATTGCTCCATTGGGTTTGGTTTTGAGTTTTGACTGTCCAACCCTAGTTCTAAATTAAAACAGAAGCGGCCATTTTTGGACTGACTCGGAGAATATAACGGAACGAACTACGAGAGACTTAAAAAATACAAAAACGCATATTGTAACATAAAATTCACGTGATCTACAATAAAATGAATAGAATTTTATAACTACAAATAAAAAGTAAAATTTGTTCCTCTCTCAACGCGTTACTCTCTATGCAGCTAAGCACTCTTTAGGAAGACCTTGAGGGAACCTCTTCGCATCCGTACAATAATTGTAGATCATGTAGTTCCTCTGTACCCATCTCATCCTTTGTTGAGCCGTTGAGTCAAGCTCTTGTGACAACCACGAGCCAGTGGTCCCCTGTTTGGAGGCATTAGGACAAGAAGACTTGCCGTTTGACCAAACACAAGCTTCTTGTTTAAAGCCACGGTAGGAAGCAGTGAAAGGAGCTTTAGACCAATCGGTTTTGACCAAACCACCTCTCGTTGCCCAATCATCAGCGTTCCAAAGACTAGAGTACATTCTCATTGGTTTGTTCTTGGGAAACAGAGTGCCTAAAGACTCCATGTTCTTGAATTCTCTAATCGGAGTTCCATCGACGGTGAATATGATTCTTTGTGGGTTCCATATAATGGTATAAGTGTGGAAATCAGCTGTTGGATCAAACCATAGTTTGAATTGTTGTTCTTTGTCTCCTTTGCCTTGTGTGTAGACATTTGTGTGAAGTGTGTAAGGATCTCCACTTGAATTACCTAAAAACTCGAAATCAATCTCGTCCCATGTTGTTCCAGGTGATTTCAACTGTTCATATACAAAAAACCATTTCAGATACAAAAACTTAAGAATGTACAAAACCCAAAAACAGAGATTGTTTTGTTGAACTTACGTAAAGTGTTGTGACGGTTCCTGCGGAGTTTCCAGGGACGAGTTTCATTTGCATGGCGATTTTACCAAACAAGTACTCGTTTTTGGATTGGAATCCAGAACCAGAGGATTTGTCTAGAGATAAAGTAAGAAGCTCTCCATTGTTCTTGATCTGTCCACGACCATCTCCCCAAGTGATCTCAACGTCTCTTTGAAAATTAGCTGAAACAGAGGAGATGGTGATAAGAGAAAGAAACAGAGGAAGTAAGTAAGTGATCGACATTTTTTAGAGATTGTTTATGAGTTTGTGGATTTTCTTGTATTGGGTTGGTTTGTGGTTTTTGAGGGTTTATGGAAGAATGTATATATAGTAGTGAAGATTTTGAGAGGCGGTTCGTGTAGAGGAAGGTTCGTTACTTGGTTAGGTGAAAGAGGAAGCCGCGTATTTGAGGCAACAGCTGGTGATTGGGCCATCTTGTAGTAAAAGCCTGTGTTTTATTTATTGGCTTTGGAAATCACGCGGTTTTTGTTTAGTGGTGTTTCTTTTTTTGAATAGTAAAATAATTAATATTGTTACTTTTGGCTCAAATTAATTTGGATTTTGGGAGTTTTGCTCAGAAAAAGTTGGATTTGAGAGTTGGATACTTTACCACCGGCTTGGACCGACCTTGACAGAGGTA